ACATTCGATTTAGATTTCTTATACATAGTTTTTCTTTCTTCTTGTGATTAATTTATTAATTGTGACATACATAAAACTGAAATAAGCATTTCATAAACTGAATACATCGTGTCATTTTATACCTGTCTAAGACTTGACATATTCGTGAAAATATGGCTCGACGGAAATGATGTTTAAAATCTATTAAATGTTATTACTTCTCCAAAGATAAATAAAGAACTAAAATTTGATGAAGGATTTTGATATCTAAACTTATTATTAAATTAACATTATATAATTAATAGTTTGCCGTTTGCTATAACAAAAAGCAATTTTCAATTTCAAATTTGTATTTAACTTTTTTCATTATAATTTTTGTGTGCATAAAGAAGAGCATTTTAATACCGTTTATTAAATGATCGGATAAAGCATTTACACTTCATATAGAAGGTTCATTAACATTATTTCTTAAATTTTTTTATCTATGAAATTTTAAGGACTATAAGGCTTAAAAAAATATCTAACTAAGAAAAAAAAATCAATGTAAAAAAATTAATTTAATTAAAAACTCTGCTGCTTTTATCATTATTTTTTTCGCTGAAAAAGAAAAATATTTATCTTTCTTTTATCGCTATTTTCATGCGAGGCATTTGATTAGGTTTCNTGTATTGTTTTGGTCTTGGAAAACTATATGGAAACACTAGACTTTCAATATCATAGTCCTTAAAACTATTTTAATTGTTTTGCATTGTTTATAAGGGTTTTTCGTGCTGCAAATTGATTCTTTAAATATAATGGGCAAAGTAGCTACCTTTTTTGCTTTTTCATACATTTTCTTGGATTTTTACATCTTATGCATTCTATATATGATGGAAGCACAACATGGGTCTCAGATTTAACCCCTTCAGGATCGGTTAATTTTCAAGAAAACGGTCGTAAAAGTGCCTATTTTTTTTATCCAAGCATATTATACACGTATTTGATTAATGCTGACATCTAGTTTAAAAAAAATAACATAACAATCTACAATTACCTTAAAAATATCCTGGTACTGCCATCTGGTGTGTAAAATGAGAAATAAAATGTTTTCCGATAAATAGAAATGAATAAGTTTTATTCTTATTGACACGTTACTACTGAACACTCCAGCCCGGGAATATCACGAGAGCGAGAAATAGAGGGCGAAACCTCACCCTGTCATTTTCACGGGAGCGAGAAGGAAGGGGTTAATAAATATAAGAACGCACTTTAAATTATTTAAAACATTTTTGCATGTTTACAGACATGAGTTTTCGAATCATTTTAAACATGAGACGGAATTGTGGACATGTTTGCGTTTTGGAGAGTAAGGTAAAAAGTAGAGCTATTTTGTACAACTTAACTGCTTTTTTTTAATGGTAGTAGAAAAAACAACTCTAGATTTTACTTCATTTTATAATAGTGTTTTAAACTAATAGTGTTTTAAATTAATAAAAATAACCATTTCTTAACAGCAATTACAAAGGGGGGGGATTACTCTCTAAAAACAAAAACAGCAGCTTAAAAATCCTCCCTTCAGAAATAAAATGTATTTAATGAAGCTTGTTCAGATCTACAGCTTTTAAGTGAAATCTAAATAATTTTTTTGTTTTTCCCTTCGTTATTGATAAAAAGGATTTTTTTTCCAAATTGTCTTTTTTTTAAATACTTTAAGGGCAAAGACGGTATGAAAATTTTTATAATGTAGCTTTTTTAAGACTTTGAAGTGTAATATTTGAAAATTTACTGCTGTAAATTTTATAAATCCTTTCCTTTCCGATAAATTTTAGTTTCACTAATTAATCAAGTATTCAGCTGCTTCATGGCGAACGAAAAAGAGTATTCATTGTTTTGAGGTTTTTTATCTAGTAAAATGATATTTAAAATCGTGACCTTAACGTTTTTTGGCATTACTTTACTAATAAATTAATATTATTTCACTTGAATTTCAATAATATTTAAAAGAGTAAAATATAAAAACCCATGATTTAAGAAATGATTTTCATTATACTAAAGAAAATAAAAATTAAAAAACGTTGTCACAACAATATCTACTTATATATAATAAAAATAAATCCTAAATGCTTCATAGTTGAAATTGAAGTAAGGTTGATATGATTCGAGCACTTAAACATGAAGATTCTCGTCAGGATTTCAAAACGGGAATGAAAGATATAAACCGGTTAAATTCAAGAAAAATCAGAGCTTCCAACAAAAATATGGAAGAAAAATAAACTGTTTAAAAAAGGGCTTAAATTTGTTAACATAAATTAGCATTGTTTTTAGAATATACTACAGTAACATAATACTTACGTTTTTAATACATGAAATGTTTATTCGAAACATTCTACTAAACCAAATTTCAAGTTAAATTTATTAACTTGTTCTAAATTTTCAAACAGTATCTGATATCATTCTCACTTTTCACTTAATTCACTTATTCTCATATGGAATTTTTTAATTAGAAAGCTACTTTTATTTAAATACTCGAATTTTTTAAAATTCGTTTTCTCAAGAAGTACTCAACTGATTTGTCACAGAATTTTGTAATTTGCCATATAATATTAAATTTTTTCAAAAGATGTGAAAAATTGCATACCGTACAATTCAATTTTTTTTCGATTATTATTGAATAAAATAATAAAAAAAATTAAAAACTATTTGTTGCGTGGCATTATCTTTGAATAAATGAATTATATTATTGCGAACGAAAACTTTTCAAGCCACTTATAAAGTTATCGAGATATGGTGCGAAGCATTAAAATTAAGGTTTACATAATTGGGTTTACAATGGTTTGAAAGGTTTAACCTCAAATATATAACTGCAGATGATGTTTTCAGTAACAAAATCAGACACAAAAACATACTTTCTCTGAAGAAACATACATTTTTTTCGAAGGATTTAAAAAAGTCGTATATTTAACATTCCGTTTCTCAGGAACTGTTAAACTGATTTCGTTTAAAGTTTGAATTTTGCCTATAGAATTGCATTTTTTTTAAAATGATGTAAGAGTCTGTGCCCTTTACAAATAAAATTTTTTTCAACTGTTTTAAAATAAAGTTATAAATAATCATTGAAAAATAGTCTTTGCATGAAACTTATGATGAACTTTGCATGAACTTTGCATGAAACTCATGAGGAATTTTATAATTGTAAATAAAAATGTTTTGATTCGCTTGAAAGTTTTAAAAAAAAATACGCATAATGTAAAATTAACAGTAAGGTGTCTAAACTATGGATCGATCTCCTGACTAAACTATTTAGACCATATTTCCCAGTTCACAACTACCCCCCCCCCTTTATTTGGAGAATAAAAAATTCAAATCAGACAAAAAAAGGCATTATTTTTAAAGAAATTACGTTTTTGTGTCTGATTTTGTAACTTAATAAAATATTGCCTTTGAAACATTCAATTTCAATTCCATAACGAGAAAATATGATCACCAAATCACAAGTTATTCAGGGGTTTTCTTATATTTCTTGCGCACTGTACTTGAGTACTTTTTATCTAATATAATGTAGAGTACTTACGTTTTTAATTCGAGGAAATATGTCGTTAAACCAAATTACCATACCAAATTTTCAGTCAAATATATTAACCTGTTCTAAATTTTCAAATGGTTTCCGATTTCATTCTCACTTTCCACTTAGTTAGTTATTCCCACAGGGATTTCTTTATTAGGCGCCCACTTTTATTTCCTGGTATCATTAGGATCCCTGGATGTGTCGATAAAGCAGAAAGTGTTTCATCTTTATTCTTCAGATTTGGATTTCCTAAAAGCTTTCTCAAGCTCCCCAGAGAAAAATGATTCCTTTATTCCGGGTAGTTCAGTAATAGACTAAGTAAACCGAGACCTTAATTTCTTAACTGTATTTGCTCTTCAATTTCCTTTTTTCTTCCTTAGAAAGTTTAGATACTTTAAAGAAACTTTAAAAAATGCGGGATTAAGAAAAATAAAGTAAGATCTTTTTATGAGTTTTGTAAATATAAGTATGATATCTTATTTTTAACAATATTTAACTAATGCATGCAGTGATTTCTTATCGCAAAAATGTGTACAATATATGATGCAATTAAGTGGGTATTAGGCATTAAAAGACTACTTTATTTTGAATTTTAGCCACTTTTATTTTAAATAAAAGGAATGAATTATTTGAATTTTATTTTAAATAATTTCATAAAAACAATCAAAATACAAGTGAATAATGAATTATTGATAGGATATAAATATAGTTACAGATTTCAAAAATTCACAGAAGTTTCTGAACTCCATTATCTCTTTCACGTAACCATTGGGTTCTGCGAAACACCATTTGGGAATTGCTGCTCTAAGGTATCATGATAAAATTACCAGATTTTACTGATTTTTCAAAATTTTAATCACATGTCATATTTCATTGTTATTTTATTATATATATTTTATTGTTAATTTTATCATATTTCATTGTTAATTTTACCATATTTTATTGTTAATTTTACCATATTTTATTGTTAATTTTATCATAATTTATTGTTAATTTTATCATATTTTATTTTTAATTTTATCATATTTTATTGTTAATTTTACCAAACTCGTCTCCAAAGTACCAGTAAAAAGTACTGAGATTTCTTATGTTCTTATAGAGTCAGAAACACAGTAGATTTTACCGTATTCTGGTAATCTCTATTTCTTTTTCCACAGGGGAGAAATGCATTAAAAAAAAATTGCCAGATTTTTAATTTAAACATTGATTTGTTGAAAAATTTTTATATGGATGGTTTGGTTACATTACATTTTCATAATCATTTGAAAATGTATGTATTTATAAGCAAAATGTCATCTCTACTGAAATTATTGCTTAAATTTAATTGTTCATTGCGTTCTCTTTCTTTATATTTAAAATATATTCTTTCGTTTTATATATTCATTTGCTTTGCATAAAAATGTGTTTTATTTCTAAAAGGATAAAATTTTTCTGTTTTAATAATCTATATATTTAAGCGGAAGCAAATTGGCACTGCTTTATCTTTATATTGAATGTTTATTATGAATACTTTACAAAAAGTAATGAGAACCTTATTTCAAATACAAAGAAAGATAAAACCAAGATGCATTTTTAAGATCAATCATAGCATTTCTTTTGACTTTCATATTCTAGTCTTGGTCCTAGATTATAACTCTTGACCTTTTTCAGCAACCTCTCTTTCTTTTCCTCGCTAAGTTCTTTTTCCCTTGTCAAAATCCACCCAAAAGCTAAATAAAAGATAAAATATATTAGGATTTAGAGATCGTAGCAAATATAATAATGTATTGTTTATTTATAATAAGAAGATATGCAACTTTGGAAACTTAAGGTAGACTAATTTATGCAATGTAAAAAATGGATTCTCAAATTTAATGATACATTCTTCGTTTTTGACGAAACCGTTTCCGGGTATATGCTCCGAGCAAATATTTTGCCAAATTACGAAATAAATATAGTCACTTCTCTGAGCAAATAAATTTTGTCTACTGTAAGGAAATATTTCGTCATTCTATTCTTTTTTCTGAAAATGCAGTGCTTAGTTTATCTAACTTTGTCTGTAACCACTTTATCGTTGGCACCATATAACTGGATCAATGTCACCATAGGAACACAAGAAAGACATATAGAACTGAGGGATAAATTACACCCATGCCATAAGCGGGATTCGAACCCTGGATCTTCTGGCTCTAGGCTAACTTTTTGACCACCATACAGCGCAGTCGGCTTATTTCGCCACTCTAGTTGATCTCCCACAATGTGCTACAATAAGATTTCGAGCTGAGAAAATATTTTCGTCGTATATTTGAGAGTTTCCGTTACGTCACAAATCACGTGATTTCGTGACGAAATAATTATCAAAATTAACGAAATATAGCTGAAGAATTTCTGAATTTCGAAAAGTGAAAGTTTCATTTCTGAGAGTGTGGTCTACATTTCATACAAGATAACCAAAAGTTGTTCTGCATAAACTAAATGAATAGCTTCATAAATATTTATTAAGCTATTTTATAAAAGCTATTCAAACAAAAATTAGAAACAAAAAAGTCGGTTTCAATATAATTTTTGTGTATTGATTACGAATCGAAATCATTGTTAAAACTAGCTGTTTTTGAGCAAAACAAATCAGTTTTCTTTATCTTGTTGATTAGTACAGTTGTTTAAAGAAAATTCTAACAAAAGCTTGAATTTTTCTCTTGTATGTTTTATGAAATGCTTATTAATTTATATTTAATTTCTGGGAAAACTCTGTTTTTGCTTATGTTAGTTACTCTAGTAAACCTTTATAACTAGATTTAAATTAAAATTCTGAATTTTTTTTAACAAAATCGAACATTTGCATCTTTGTATAAATTAATACAATTATTAGTACGAATTCTTGATTTTTAATATTTGTTAAGAAATTAAAGTGCAACCAATAATTTTGTTAATTCTAATATCTCCCCTAATTTTTGTTTTTCTCGCAATTTCGAATTTTTTTATTTATGAAATGCAGTTCTATCTGCAAATTGTATACTTGAATAATTAATATACAATAATATTTATCCAATTGCCCTTTTTTCTCTAAAAAACTTTTCTTTGAGAATACTAGTTTAGAAAAACTACTATTATTAAGAGAAAAGTAATTGATCAGTATATGACAAAAATTTCTGATTGACAAAAAAATTTTTAGACCGTAAATATCTCGTGCGACTTATATTGTTGCTTTCATAAATGAACTTTATACTTCTTTCCAAAAATAGCAGACATTGACATTTCAAAAGAAGGCATATTTGCATTTGGCATAAGTTAATTGAATAATCTAGCTCTTTGCAACTACTCGCCGCTAACTTGTATTATAATTTTTAGGCTTATTGCGTGAAACACACTTACCGAAATATCTTTGTACCTCAGAACATCAATCATTCTTTAATCAATTATCTTGAATTATTTTTACACAGTTTGAAATAAGCCGAGAGATGTAAATTTTTATTACAAATAACTTTCTTAAGGGTGTATTTCAAATAACATTATTAAAATTTTATTGTAAATATCCCTTTTAAAGTCTAAGCAATAAGTCTAAGCAAATTAAGATTCCTTATATATTGTCCCGACTATTCTTCATACTTTCTCTAATTAGCCAGAGGGCGTGTAAGCTGATTGTAAAGTACAAAAACATATAAGAAAGACTGGAAAATACAGAAGACTCTTCCCATTAGCTTAATGAATCGCAAAATGCCGGCGAAATTTGCGAAGAACCAAATTTTTCAATTGCCTTAGAATATTTGCTTTCCTGAAACTTTTCTACTAAAGAGAATAACTATTAACGATGCCAACAAAATTACTTTAATTTAAGTTAGGCAGCTAGGTTTTAATTATCAATCATGGGTAAAAATAAATGAGAAAATATTAATCCATATATTTTATTCACATGTAAAATATTTTGGTGCATTAATAAGTTACAAGTATAAATAAACTATATAATTAAAGCATCAACTATTTAAATTTGTTTTTAAAAGATATTTATGAATTCAACTGATAAATTAATTATTAGCTATAGCTTTTCTAACAAAAATTTATTTAAAATATTTTTAGCAGTTTCAGACATTAAAATATAACTTAAATTTTAGTTTGATAATAACAATTTTAAAAAAAATTCAACAAATAAGCGTGATTTTTCTTAACGCTTCAAATCTTTTATCATATTATGAATCTAAAGATATTAAGTTTAATTATTGAGAAGCAAACTTACCAAATCTGAATGCTCCAATCGGTTTGCAATGATACAAAATAACGTATTCATCATATTTAGCATCAACAATATCCACCCAATCTTCCAATCCAACTATAATTTATTTAAATTATATCAGACATAATTAAAAAAATTCATATATGCTATTAAACTATGTAGGATAATGATATGAATCATGGCAAACCACTTTTATATATTAAAATATTGCTTTAAACATATTTTTCCTTGTTAATTAGTATTAGAATATTGATGTTTAGTTGTAATTTTAAAAAATCAATATTTGTTAAATGAACTTTTTTATGAATACAAAAGAAAAAATTTTGATCACCTTGCAGTGTAAGAAAAACAACAAAAAAGTAGTGAAGGAGTAAAACTAAGAACAGTTCCAGGTGTAGTGAAACACCAAGAATGTTCTTTCATACTACTTGGTGTAAAATAGCTGCCGCCATTTTTATAATTATTTTTGGAATTCAGTAACACTGATATTTATAATAGTAAGATAAGATATACACAAGAGTTAGTGAAGTTAATTTTACAAAATAATATAAAGTAAGAATAACTAATTCAGGATTAATTTTTAATATAAATTTAGTTTGTAAATCAAACATAAGCGCAGAGAATAGTAAGGCGAACTCGAACTAAGCTTACAGAGCAGAAACAACAAGAAATTATGCATAATTAAATTATTTTATACTGTTTACAGACGCTTAAAAAGTGAATAAAAATATCCTTATTGCATAACTAAAAACATACAAGCAAATTTCAACTGCGAACCTTAGTTTCTGTAGATGTATAGAAGACAACATCGATAAACCATGTTAACTGGTCAGACGATTTAAAAATTACCCCAACTTTAGTTTCTGTAGATGCATAGAAGACAACATCGACAAACCACGTTAACTCGTCAGACGATTTAAAAATTACACCAACTTTAGTTTCTGTAGAGGACAACATCCACAAACCACGTTAACTCGTCAGACGATTTAAAAATTACACCAACTTTAGTTTCTGTAGATGTACAGAAGACAACATCAACAAACCACTTTAACTCGTCAGAGGATTTAAAAATTACACCTACTTTAGTTTCTGTAGATGTATAGAAGACAACATCAACAAACCAACTTTAACTCGTCAGACGATTTAAAAATTACACCAACTTTAGTTTCTGTAGATGTATAGAAGACAACATCAACAAACCACTTTAACTCGTCAGATGATTTAAAAATTACACCTACTTTAGTTTCTGTAGATGTATAGAAGACAACATCGACAAAGCACGTTAACTCGTCAGACGATTTAAAAATTACACCAACTTTAGTTTCTGTAGATGTATAGAAGACAACATCGACAAACCACGTTAACTCGTCAGACGATTTAAAAATTACACCAACTTTAGTTTTTGTAGATGTATAGAAGACAACATCAACAAATTAACTCGTCAGACGATTTAAAAATTACACCAACTTTAGTTTCTGTAGATGTATAAAAGACAACATCAACAAACCACGTTAACTCGTCAGACGATTTAAAAATTACACCAACTCTAGTTTCTGCAGATGTATAGAAGACAACATCGACAAACCACGTTAACTCGTCAGACGATTCAAAAATTACACCAACTTTAGTTTCTGTAGATGTATAGAAGACAACATCAACAAACCACGTTACTCGTCAGACGATTTAAAAATTACACCAACTTTAATTTCTGTAGATGTATAGAAGACAACATCGAAAAACCACGTGAACTCGTCAGACGATTAAAAAATTACACCAACTTTAGTTTCTGTAGATGTATAGAAGACAACATCAACAAACCACGTGAACTCGTCAGACGATTTAAAAATTGCACCAACATTGGTGCTTTTGGTGACGAAAATATTTAGCTTATATATTAAATTCACGTAAACTTTTTTCTCTGTTATAACAGTTTTCGATTTAGCTCTTCCTTCCTAATTTTATATGAAAGTCTGATTTATCATTTACTTGCGACAAAATTTTTTACGCAATTTTCTGTTTGTTCAGCATCAAATTAAAAGAGATAGTTACTCCATAGTTTTTACAGTATAGAATAGCTATCAAATAATTTTTCTCAATAGTAGAATTACATAAACTGGGAAGGCCGCGGTTGAGATAGACTGACTCAGTGGAATCTGATTTTCTTACAATTAATGAAAAGAATTTGAGATCAAATATGAATCGGAAGTTGTCATGGAGAAATCTTCAGAGGAAGGCATTGACTCACATTGGACTGTCTGGCCAACTATGATGATGATGAGTAAAATTACATAATTTTAAAAATTTTATATTTTTGTCCCATTTAGCATTAACAATGTCAGCCTATTCAGTCAAACTAGAAATTTTACAAAACATTTACATTTTAGATATAATTCAGGAATTTTATTTATGACTTATAAGAACGCTGGATGAATCATGGTTTTGAAAAAGTTATAAGCCCATCTATTCATATATAGCGACTTATTTAAGTGGTATTGTTTCAAACGCAATATACCAATAACGACGTCCAATTAATTCTAATGGGTAAAATAATATAACTTAAAATCTAATTAAATAATATATAATTGAATAAATAATGTGACTTAAAAAATTTTTCAAATAGAAGATTACACAAACTACTCCTTTTTTCGAAGTTATGTTTACTTTTTAACAATTTAAATTTTTTAGTTAAGTTCCTTGGGCAAAAATATGATAGTTATTAATGTAAACATTTGGTTAAAAATGAACTATTCCGAAGAAAGCTTCGAATTTTTTACTATCTATGTTTAGCTCATTAAATTTGCAAAACCTTTCAATTTTTTGAAATGAATTTTTTTTTTTATGATGACAGACGAAATTGATACCTGAAGTTAACTATCAAAAACGTTATTAAATTGTTTTTGCTATGCCATGAGTATTTTAATCTCTTTTATTTCTAAAAAAATATATTTTAAAGACAAATATAATTAATTTTTAGAAATTAACTTTTGACTAATTAGTTTTTTTTTGTTGTCGGAATTTTCTTGCATTTTAAATGCATTTTCATAAAAGCGTTGATTTTGAAAAAAATTCTTTACGATGGCACACATTACAAAAAAAGTATATCGAAGAATTTTTTGGAACCTTGTGCGTATATTTTGTTTTTAACTAAAAGCTAATGTCTAAATGTGAATTTATTATTTTTATCAAGTTTAAGTAAAAAATTTTCATATTTCTCTTTAAAAATGTTTGGAATTTTTCCTTTTTATATTTAGTTCCATTTCATTGAATATATGAAGTGTTTAAAGATTTTAATTCAGAACACATGCAAACACATTTTTGATCTAGGAAAAATGTTAAGATTTTAGCATGACAAGGAGAATTTGTAGTATTTAATCTCAAATGTGCCCTTATTTTGTAGAAAAAAGTATTTTATCAGTTTTTAAAGCTAGTTTTAGATTTATTATTCTAGGACCTCTCCTTACCAGAAATAGAATTAAAATTTTAATTTAAGGTGTTTTCGAAAAAATTATGTCAAATGCAGTCGGATAACTTGAAATCAAAAAGCTGTAAACGCTGCAAAAGCAATAACGCTGTAAAAGGAAATTTATGATCTAAAATACAGTGCGCAAAAAATCGACCATATTGAATAACTTTTGATGCAATGATTCGATCTTCACGTTTCAAGACACTTAATGGTTAGAGGGAGCTATCACAAATACGATAATCAATTAGAGCAAACGATATCTTAAATTAAGAATTCAGACACAAAAACGTGTTGTAGCTTAATAAGCATAGCTCTTTTGGGTGGATTCGGATTTCTTATCCCCCAAATATAGAGAATAGCTACAATCTGGAAAATATGGTCCCAATAGTTTGGTCTGCACAGAGGACAGTGGTTCAAAGCTTGAAACCCTTACATGTTAATTTTATTTAGCCTTTAAGAGAGCCTTTTAATTCAATTGAAAAATTTTTGCCCCCAGTTACAAAATTCGTTTCTCCAAAACAATTCTATAAAAAAAGTAACTATTATGCTATTTGATAATAGTCGAAAAAATTTGAATTGTAAAGTATAACTTTTTTTTTCTTTACTGTTTTAAAGAATATGATTTTCTGTAGCAAAATACAAAATTTGTGCGAAGTCAGTCGAATAGTTCCTGAGAAATTAAATTTTTAAAAACTGATATTTTTACCTAACGATGCTTATGATTTCGTAACTCAAAATATCTTCAGCATCAATTAATTAGTTTATTTGAGGTTAACCATTCGAACCATTAAAATTGAGCTCTTGAACGTGAAGATCCGATTATTAGATCTACAGTTATTCAGGGTGGTCCTTTTTTCCCCCCTTTTTTTTCGCACTGAACTATCTATATGTAACATCTAAACATTACATTTTTTGTTATTGAATATTAATACATGTTTATTGTTGTAAATATGCTATTAAATATTTAATATGTTGCTAAATATTTAGTGATTATTTTTTGTTTGTTCAAAATAAATTACTTATTTTATAAAGTATAAACTTTTGTAATGTATATAGTTTTAAAATGGCTTAAAAATAAATAAATGAATTCTTCACCGTTTAAATTTTTTAGGATAATCTTCAAAGTATTTATAAAAGCTTGAATTTATTATTTTAAAGTTTTTTTTTTGTTATCAACAAAGCTTTTTTAATTGTTTTAATCTAATTATAATTCTCTCAGGTAATTAAAGTTTAAAAAAAATTCATATCACGGAGGGAAAAAATTTTTTCGCTTCTTGGCTTAAAATATTTACTTTTTATCAATCTATTTAAGGGTAGTTTAGATATAGCATACTCTAATCCTCCTTCATCCTATTCGGATCAAATCCATTTTTTTCGATTATAATTTCTTTAATGTTTACCAAAAAACTATTTTTTATCTGTAATATTACAAAAAATGCAAATAATTATAAGAAATGGTACTAAAGTGAGAAGGTTATTTTAATTATTTATTATTCATTCAAAGAAACAGGGTTCAATTTCAAAATGAGATAGATAAAATCAGAATGAATTTAAGGAATTTGATATGGTCTATATCAAAATTAACAGATTTAATAATGGTTAAAAAAATTTAGCTAGCACCATTTCCGCCAGCAAATACGTATTTACATTCATTAGTATAAGTATTATTTTTGTTTTATGAAATTCTTATCGATATTTAACCTTTAATTAGAACTTGAAGTAGAAAATTGTTTTTACAGTTTAAAATGAACAACGGAAACAAAAGTTGTAAACAAAATTATTCATTAAAAATTTTAATTTATGAAAACTATATTAAATAAATAATGAGAGTTAAATATAATTCGTACTAACACACACTTAAAGCATTTATAAAATTGCTTAAAGGTTTAATTTTCTTCTGCTATCGTTAAAACCTGTATTAGAATTATTTTACCCATTTCAGGCCAAGGATAGAAATTTTATTAAATGTCGTATTATTTTCAGTGAAATATGTTTAAAATACATTGGTTAAGACAAAAAATAAGTTTCGTATATGAAAAATAATACTTTATTCAAGAAATAAAATGGTGCGTAAACGCATCATTGGCCAGTTCGATGAACAATTCATTTAGCTCAAAAGTTATATTTTTAATGGAAATATTCGAAGCATTTTGGTTACGAATGGGCTTTGCATTTGATGCAGAAATAAATCGCGTGGTTTTTACACACTTTATACCGTCTGAGAGCTTTTTTTTTCATGCTCACTTATTGTATGTCCGCTTCACTCAGTCCGTACTTCTTTTGGTAGAGCTGCGGATGATGAGCGACCTTTATTAGGAGGGTAACTTGCAATGTACATACTTTCACTTGATGGATTATTCTTGGATTCAGATTTTAGTAGGGAAATCGCTATATAAGATCTAAAGTCTATAAGGGATATTTTTGATCTAGATGAAATTCTATGTATCTTCCATGAATTTACTATAACTCTATCAATGATGTTTGTAATTAATGGCTACCACCATTTCTTACCTTGAATCTTGATGAGGAAATTAGCTATTGTCATGTAGGTCTACACCTTCCCTATGCTTATTGCAATCCGAAATAACGGTGGGTTATGAAATCACAACGTCTTTACTTTCTTTGCAACTGCATCGTTTGGCATTTACAAGGGACAAAATGGTACCGTTATTAATAACACTTGTTACCACAGCATTGTCGTTCAATTTTATTGCACATGTTTCTGCATCCTTTCTGAATACAAAATTGTAAGATGTACCATGTTTTTATTTTTTTTTCATATTTTTGGAGTCACCCAATATACAACCAGCTATGCGATTTGTACGAGCTGTGCCAGATGCAAAGAAAATTTCGAATAAACCACAGGAAGAGAAAAGTTATCAAAATAAGTTTTGTGCTTCTCAGATTTTATAACAATTCTAAGTATCTTCATATGACGCTTGTACCTCCATAAGAAATAAATTGGAAAAGGTATCTATCAGACGAGCACAAACACCAAAGTTTAAATCCATATCTTACGGGCTTCCCCTTTATATACATTTTTGATGAATGCCTTCCGAAGTAAGGTACCATCTCGTCGTCAATAGACAAACGTTGAAAAAATATTCCAAATTGTAGATATTTTAGGTTTTTGTGCATAAGAATTTGGCGTATCTTATCAAATTTGGCTGTTTTATCAAGACAAGAATCATCCGGCAAATGAATATTTTGCTTTATGCTTTTAAATCTGCTTTGACTCAATCATTTCGGAATTATTAACAGTCCTATATCCTCATCCAAAGACCAGTACATATCTATTTGAGGAGGTGTATGGTATCCAGAAAGAATTGGTATACAGAATATGTATACCTCTGGATACCAAAAAGAATATGGTATCCAGAAGGCACTAGTTTAGAGAGAATTAGTATTGGTAGCAATCTATTTAGTAAATTTCAAAGAAATCCCTCAAAATTTTCAATAAAACCCGGAAACCTTCCATTAAAAGTGGGTTTTCATATTTTGCTTATTTCTCATGCATATGGCTAATAGTGCGTTAGCGCACCATTAAATTTTAATTAAACTTTTTTAATTTTTTATGATTGTTTTTTTAAATTTTATTTTCAGAACTTACAATTTTAACCCATTATAAAAACATATAATAAATCTCCAGTGGAATAATTATACAGTTTCAAAAAATTGACTTCTTCGAACACAGCTTGAAATTAAAAAGCGAGCGTGTCTTGAAAATTTCTCAATGGAAAGTATTTACTCTAATTGAATTACTAATATTTTATAAAATGTCTTCAAAACCATTAAAAACAGCAGAAAAATAAAATTTTTGAAAAATATTCACGACAGTGTTAATAAAAATATTTATTATATATGCGTTTATGTTATATACTTATTATATATGTGTTCGTGCACCTTTGGGCTAAGATAGGTTAAAGTCAGTATATTATTATTTTATTTTAAAACCCTGCGCTGAAGAGTAGATCCAAAGTTGAGCTTACGACTATCAACATTTAACTCAGCAACCTTGTTAGAACGTAATTCAGCAGACAAGGGAACTCTTGGATCAAGCTTTGGATGGTACATGGATTAGTGGTGATAAAGTTCTACGCAAATCATATTCAACGTACAATCTATTTGTCACTTTGTCCTTTTATTTGTTTAAGTGTTGAAAAATTTGATTCGCAAAGACAGGTTTATACAAACTTTTGAATAACATGCACATGTTTAATTCGGCAATGAATTTTCTTTAAATATGTATTTAATTAGAGAATCTGTTTTCAGTTCAAAAAATCATCGTTCAAAGCATTAGGAAGACTTTCAAAAAACAAACTAAATGTATTTTGTTCTAAATCTAACAACTTTTTCAATTATTTTCAACTTCAAACATTATTTTCTAGAGAAGTACGTGTAATCAATCAGATCGTATACAATCCTTCCTAAGTTGTGAACCACACATTATAGTTTTATGTAAGGCACATTTATAGTTCACGAAAATATAACTTCTTTTTTTGATTTTGAGGAATTTATGCGTAATTATTTGACAATACTCAAGCAATTTATAATTGATTTATTTTTTATCGTAAGCATAACTCACCCATTTCAATGGTAAATTTCATATGATATGGCGCTTCAGGATATGGAAATAGACCGCCATTGAAATTGATCTCGAATCCAGTACTATAAAATAATTTTTTAATTATTGAAAGATAATATCACATTGGCTACTTGATGATAAAACACTAAGGTATAGCGTTACTTTAAAGTTTAGTGATAAAAATAACACAACTTTAATCTGTAGCATTAAAAATATTTTTCTACATATTTTAAACAAAAGTATAAGAAGATATTGCATTCCATAATTTAAGCCTTAAATTTAAGAAAACAATAATTTATTTTCGAACAAATAATGCATTTACAAAAAATATAAGCATTTTATTTATATTTAATCACGCTTAATTTTTTAACAACACCCCCATTTAGTGTTTTATTTATCTTTACATAGTATTAAGAAGAATAGAGATCAGTAAACTAATATTATTCAAAAATTTGTTAATTTGATTATTTAAATGCTTTTAAAATAAGCGCTCCTGTGGAGCATTAGGACGGAGGGCTGTTGGAGATTTGGAGGTCATGAGTTCTATCCAAGCTGTTGACAAAACAACCGGAGTTTATGCACGGCAAAGTGTGCGTTTAATCTGTCGTGGCTCGAACAAAGAATATGCACAGGGAAGAAGGCTAGTATCGATAGACATAATGTAAACCGATACCCCAAGATTCTGTGCAGTCCCGGTGTATAAAAGACATAGCAACGTTTAGGGGCACAGCAGCAGAGGTTTTCGAAACGTATTTCCACCGTCCTCTCCTCCCACCCACAACTGGGGTAAGCGTAGGGTTTGGCAGGAGATGAAAAGTTTTCTCTTTTTATTTACTCTTGGCTTGATCTGCCTTTTTTCACGATTTATAAATAGTACTGTATTATTAATTAAAATTCATATTATCTATGTTGATTTCTGCATTTGGAACATTTTCATCATTTAGAATTTAATGATTTACTCTAAATCTCTTATATACGACTTTTCTCTAAGCTTTTAATTTTAAATCAGCATTGGAGGTTAAATAAAATTTGCTGTGAAATTTTTCTACAGCCGTATAAAGTCTCCTTAAGAGTGATTTCGAAAACACTGAAATTGTAAGTGTTTAAGACTATGTTAATTTTTGCATATAATATAGAGAATTTATTTAAGCACTAAAAATATTATTAGGATTTTTAAAAAAGATAGAGAAAAATATTTCAAAAACACTACAATTCTATGAATTTATGAGTAAAGTAAATCATTTTCGCCAGGGGGGTCATGCAGGTTAAGGGTCCATAATTTCGTGACAACAGCATGATAGTGGCAATCTTGTTGGCACTACGTACAGGCCACATTTACTTCCTAGACAAGCTGGTACTCATAAATCAGAAGCTGGATGGGCTTAAAGCCGCCACTTTAAATCAAACACCAGTTCTTTGCAATGACAGTTCAGTCTGATCACTGGGCCATTGCGTTTGACGTTCTGAATAATGCATTAATATCGGCTATCAGTATAAAGAATTTATTCATTCCTCCAAATTCTCCAATAGATGATTTTTATCAGAAAATATGCTTTGTAAACATATTTGGGATGTTTTTATACAATTTATAACTTATTTCATCAAATCACAAAAATGTACCTCTCTTCTATCATAGATGTGTTGAAATTCAAACCTCCATCTGTTACTGTCATGTACTGAGTGTTACATCTTTGAGGCATGAGGTACTGGAAGGGGTTAGGGAGTCTTGCAAACTCATACCATCTACCACCCATCTAAAGAAAAAGAAAACGACTTTAGTAATAACAGTAAATTTTCTTAAATATTTTTCGTATCCTTCATTTTAGATATTTTTCATATCCTTCATTTGAAATATTTTTCATATCCTTCATTTTAAGTATTTTTCATATCCTTCATTTTAAATATTTTTCATTTCTTTCATTTTAAATATTTTTCCTATCTTTCATTTTAAATATTTTTCATATCCTTCATTTTAAATATTTCTCAAATCCTTCATTTTAAATATTTTTCATATCCTTCATTTTAAATATTTTTCATATCCTTCATTTTAAATATTTTTCATATCTTTCATTTGAAATATTTTTCATATCCTTCATTTATTAGATATGCCTTGAAGTTCAATTATTTTTGCTAAAATATAAAACAATAATAAACGGTTTTTTGAATGAAATCATGTTCGGAGGAGATGTTTCTATAAGTGGAGAACTGAGTTTTTAAATTTCCTCTCTAAGTACAGAAATATGAAAATTAAAATAAAGTTGCTATTCTTGAATCTTTTTATAAAAATGTCTAATATTTTTGATATTTTTGAGTAATTGACTAATTTAATAAATATTAAAAACTTGCTAACAACTCTTGTAGATTTTAAATAATTTAAGTTTAAAAACATTAAAAAAGTTATGCTATTTTTTAACTTTGATGTAAAATAAATACATTACGTTTTAATATCGATTTTTTTATCAATTTTATAAAACTTATCCAAACTTTGATCTGTCTACATGCTTTGATATAATCGTTAAAAAATTTTAAAAAAATTTAAAATTTCATGCGTTTTGTATTTATTTTCTAATTTTTATAAAGAAAAAGTGAAAGTAAAACTTAAAAACTATTTAAAATACAATATAAATATATTTTCACATTGCATGTTTCGTGGAGCTTTTTTTAAAGTTTTAGAGTATTATTGTTTTAAGATAGAAAAAATTTGAGAAAATTAAACATTACTGGGTCTTTTAACATCTTAATAAGTTAAAATAATTTGTCTGAAATACTACAATAGATTCATTATAGTTTTAATAAATTAAAACAAATTAATTATTTATATATTATAGTTTTAATACGTATTTTATTTACATCCATCTTTATTACGCTTCCTTAATCGAAAATTAATTTATAATTCAGTAATGTGTAAAACTAAATTACATTTATGGTACCTCATACCAATAAGCGTCATTCCACATAGATCATTTACATTCAAACTTCATTCTCTGATTCTATCAATATTTATTACAATGAAAAGTATCATTAATTAGATTAAAATAATAAATTTACTGTAGCGTATGTTAGGTATATTGTTAAATATTTAAATTTCAATTAATCTAAATAAACACCAAAACAAGTTTTTATTAAATTGTGTGTAATTGCCACTCTTTAATAGATTTATGACATTCAAATCTCTATTTATAACAAATATTCTATCCTCAAAATAATAAGCCACAATTTATATCAAGTGCCATTCACACTCTTTATGATGCTAATCATTATAAGCTGATTATTCAAAGTTGCAGTAAAGTACATTAATTGATAAATTATTTTATGATTTATACACAACAGAAAAATAATTTCATTTTTTTTAAATTATTGCTTAAAAACTCTTATTTTACAACTTTCATATGCTTATCAAATTGTTCAGAAAACTTGAAAATATACATTTTAGTAGAATATTGAATTCATTAGTATTTATATCGATGTTTTTCTTATTACCATATCCAAAATATGTATAATAAGATATTTTTGAAGTTTATTCACTGAAAAAAATCAAAATGCAAAAGAAAAAAGGAGTTTTTATAATTTTAAAGAAAGAAATGCACCAGAATGCTAAATAGTATTTTAAAAATTGTTTTTTGGCTCATTTTGAGTTAAATAATTAGATGAATTTATTATTAAAAATTTTGTCAAGTCAACTAATTAGTATGATTTTTTAAAAGTTAGTTAACGTTAATGAAACTTAAAAAAAGTTGCAAAGTATTTATCTAAGAACATCATGATAATTACATGATATATGTTTAAATTTTGTAATCTGGTTCATTTATTTATTAAAGTTAAAGAGCTAAAAATTTAGAAAAAGAAATTCAATTGTTAAAATTTAATAAAAATTTATATTTATAAATAAATTGACTGAAATGTTAATATCCAAAAAAGGAAAAGGAAAAATACAACATTAAGCAACTAAGATAAGCAAAAATGAGTTTCAGACAAAGGAGATAACTTCATAAATTGACTTCAAATATTATTTCAAAAATAGCAACGACATTTATTTTATATCACATAAAAATGGAAAATATCATAAATATATTTAAAAGTATTTTTTCCAAATAAAATTTTTAAAAAATTGTAATTATTTTAAAAAATTTCTGCAAAGAATTTGATGTTATTTGTAAAATATTACTACTAGCAGAATTTTAAAAAAAATAAAAAATAAGAAAAAAGCACCAAAATATATGGACAAATTGTAACATTTTATTATACGAATACGTATGTAGAACGTAAATGTAGAATATATTTAGAACGTATGAATAATTGTTCACCTTTACAAGAAATGAGTACTACCTACTACCACTAAAAAAGATAATATTAATAGTAAACTTTAGTCAATGTTTTCCTTTTCAGCAAAAACTAAAAGGGACAGGCATTGAAAGACAAAGACATTTAAAAAATTACGAAAAAAAGAACTATTTTTTCACAAACGATATATTAAAATTGAAAATGCTTTATGTTAAAACTGATATATATGTTAAAACTATGTTAAATGTGTTAAAACTGAAACTATGATAAATATGTTAAAACTGAAATTGGAAATCAAGCTTTAACTTTAGCATTTAAAAAGAAGAAGAAAATTAACTCCATTATCGATCAACAAAAAGGAAAGTAAATAGACTTTTAGGCACATAAAAAAATTATTTGTACGTCGGATTAATATTGGTTTCAAGAAGAGCATAATAAGATTAAGAGTAATTTAATTATTACTCACTTTTCTGTAATCAAAATCTTTCATTAGCGGTGGATGCTCGCACATATCAACCTTTAGCGGCCTAAGAGATGAAACAAGTTTGGCTAAAACCAATAATACGATACTAAGATACTTCATTGTTTCTTGAAAGTTTTGCCTCGCTTGATGGATGGTACAAGATGTAACACTTCTGCTTCCGTATGCTCCGGTTTAAATATAATTAATTGTTGTCGCAAAGTTATGTCACAAACTAATCATTCGTGATAATCTCTGACTGTTACTTTCTCATGTTTTCCAGAAAAACTCCGATAAGATGTATCATTTCGAAAATAGACGAGATTTTCGGTTAGATATTCAACAATGCACTTTTGTTTTGATGGAAGTTTCTAATTTTAGATTGTGAATGTTAGAATTGCGGTAATAAAGTGAAAGCGGAAGTAGAAACAAGAAAGTAATCTTTACACAACTCTTACATCGTAATTAAAAAGTGAACAGAAACAAGTTTCGAATTTTATATTGTGGACAAAACGGTAATAAAATGAAAGCGGAAGTAGAAACACGAAAGTAATCTTTATACAACTCTCACGTTGTAATTAAAAAGGGAATAGAAACAAGTTTCTAATTTTATATTGTGGACAAAACGGTAATAAAATGAAAGCGGAAGTAGAAACAAGAAAGTAATCTTTATACAACTCTTACATCGTAATTAAAAAGTAAACAGAAACAAGTTTCAAATTTTATATTGCGGACAAAACGGTAATAAAATGAAAGCGGAAGTAGAAACACGAAAGTAATCTTTATACAACTCTCACGTTGTAATTAAAAAGGGAATAGAAACAAGTTTCTAATTTAATATTGTGGACAAAACGGTAATAAAATGAAAGCGGAAGTAGAAACAAGAAAGTAATCTTTATACAACTCTCACATCGTAATTAAAAAGTAAACAGAAACAAGTTTCAAATTTTATATTGCGGACAAAACGGTAATAAAATGAAAGCGGAAGTAGAAACACGAAAGTAATCTTTATACAACTCTCACGTTGTAATTAAAAAGGGAATAGAAACAAGTTTCTAATTTAATATTGTGGACAAAACGGTAATAAAATGAAAGCGGAAGTAGAAACACGAAAGTAATCTTTATACAACTCTCACGTTGTAATTAAAAAGGGAATAGAAACAAGTTTCTAATTTAATATTGTGGACAAAACGGTAATAAAATGAAAGCGGAAGTAGAAACACGAAAGTAATCTTTATACAACTCTCACGTTGTAATTAAAAAGGGAATAGAAACAAGTTTCTAATTTAATATTGTGGACAAAACGGTAATAAAATGAAAGCGGAAGTAGAAACAAGAAAGTAATCTTTATACAACTCTCACATCGTAATTAAAAAGGGAACAGAAACAAGTTTCGTATTTTATATTGTGGACAAAACGGTAATAAAATGAAAGCGGAAGTAGAAACACGAATCTTTATGCAACTCTCACATCATAATTAGAAGGGAACAGAAAAAAAGGGAGCAGAAACTTTTTTAAGACTGTATTATAAATTTTAAATAGTTTAAGTTAGAAACACAATGACACGAATATTTTTGTTAAATATTTATTAAAAATTTATAATTGGTTAACGTAAAATTAACTTGATTTTTGTGTAACAAAAAAAGAGCCATGTTGGTAGTAATTTCATGAGAGACTATTTTGAGAAAATAGATATTTTTTGTTGTTGTAAAAAAGGCAAAAAAAGCGCCGCAATTTTTCAGGTGCCACTTAATTGCATATCGTGGGAAAACAAGCTGTTTAGTTTCAAAACTACTTTCAACCATTTTTGAAAATGTAAAATAAAAAATAAGTATCATTCCTAAACATGAATCTAAAAGTTTTTTATTGTAGTTTTATTTTGTTCAAAAATCGCAAAATACTTAAAATCTATCTATCTACACACACGCGCACACGCAGGTATATATACATATATACATGTGTATATATGGGTCATTCTCACAAAAACAGTCATTTTCATGTCCCCAGTATATTTTATGTTTGTTTTACAGCTTACGAAAAAAAAAATTCAGGGAAAGTGTCCTTCAGAATGCAAGCTATCAAAGGAATAAAAATAAAATTATCAATTTTTATTTTTTATTTATTTTAGGTAATTAAAATATACCAATATGTCATTCCCTCACTTGTCCCCACTGCTGATTTAAAAAAAGAAAAAAATTGTTTCTGAAATAAAAATTTTTTTTTAACAAATTCGTGTTTTTTATTTCAGAATACTGAAATATAGAATTCAGAAAATCAATTTTAAATTTAATTTCTGATAAAAATATTAACACAGCACTATTTTAAACTTTGTCCCCAGTGTTTCGCGTCATTCCCTCACAACAATGTTCTTATCACCTGCAATCTTCTTAGAATAAAAATATTTTAATAAAAACTTCAGAAGTTAACAACTGGCATCATAGAACAAAATTGCAGTATGTTTCCATCTTCAACTTAAAGAAGCTTTGCTGTGGAATAAATTTGAATGAATCAAACCAGGTAAAATTTTTTACATTTGTCATTCCCTCATGTCATTTTTTAGAGTAAAATAAAATACAACTTCATCGAGAAAGTGGATAATTATATGTTGCTTTCTTGTATGAATATAATTGTATGTGATTGACTTCAGAAATTAATTAGGCCTAACTGTTATTTTTAAATTTTATTGAATTCGTCATTCCCTCACTAGTGTATAAAGTGAGGGAATGACGCTGAAGTGAGGGAATGATTCAAGATGAGTATATTATTAAATTTTTTTTTGTTCAATCGTGCCAGCCAATTTTATTTCCCAAACCTGTAAAAACTATTAAATATATAAAACTAAATTATAATAAATAATAGATATACTTAATATGTTATCATTTTCAAACTTGAGGTAGCTGTAACTGAGAGAAAAACATGTATTGAAATAAAATATCATTCCCTCACTATCAATGTCATTCCCTCACTTTTCAAATAGTGAAATTAATTAATTAATTTAAATATTAAGTATAATTTAAAGGATATATATTTTCTTTATGATGCCATTACATATTTCTATTAATAAAAAAAGTTTCAGAGCTTTTTATTCATTTTATTTTTTTGGGATTTTATGAACCGAAAAATGACAGTTTTTGTGAGAATGACCCATATACATATTTATGTTGTATTTTTCTTACCCGGCAAAGAAAGTTCTCACCTTTTTTTTTTTTACTTTAGCAACAAAGAATTGAAATATCAAGTATTGATATAACAAAGAATAAAAGAATTGATATTACAAATAAAATAATTAATATTGTAGAGTAACTACCACTATAAATTTTGAATACCAATTCACTAGTACATAAGACATGTTAACTTGATTCTGCCTTGCGGTACCTTTTGATAGATGAAGGCTGACATAGTCTATAATTAAATTCCCTACAATATATCAAGGAATTGAAATATCAAACGTTTATCTGTAATAAGCATGAAAGCGTAAATATGCATTGTTACAATTTCGGAATGAAAATTCCTTTCTACTCCGGCGTGGACAACGAAAAATTGAAAAAAACTGAGCTACGTTGAAATGTTAAAAATGAATAGTTCATATCAGCAAACAAAGCGTTCCATATTCTGCTTTAACTACATTAATACAGATTCAAAAATAATGATTTTATTCATTGCTATTGTTATTTATTGAAAAATAATTAAATTGATGCTTAGTTTCTGCAAGTTCTTCTATTTATTACATGTCATTTATTTTAATTTGAATACATAATAGTTGGGTCATTTAACTGCTTTACAGTGTGGAAACAGGCGTTATCGACAATGCCAAACTTCATCTATGAAAAGGAACCCCACCATAGAATCCAGTTAATGTGTCTTATATACTAGTGAATAGGAATTATATTTTTTGTAGTGGTAGATACGCTACAGTACTCCTCCACCAGAATTATATCTGTGATAAAATTCGATGAACGGTTACCACTAGTTGATTCATTGCGGTTTTGTGAGAAGCCGGGAGAGCTGTATTAAGATCACCGTACTTTTTGTGTGCTGATTGTGAGAGCTGTACTAAAATCACGGTTGTTTCTGCTCCTGTGTTGTCATTAGCAGTCGAGTGTATACGTTGTACGCTATGTGCGATCGAAACTGAGTAGCAACAGCGCGAGGAGGTGGATAATGTTGCAGTCACAAGTAGCAAGTCAACTGCTTAATGTGAACCATCCATCGAAGTAGGCGTGTTCAGATCGAAGTGGGAGTTATTGTCAAGTTAGTCGTGTTCGTATTGAAGTGGGAGATCCTGTTAAGGTCACCAATTAAGTTATAGACAATGTCAACCTTCATCTATGAAGAGGTACCCCATCATTATTGTGTCTTATATACCATTGAATTGGAATTATATTTTTGTCGTGGTAGATACGCTACAACAGTAGTCGCTAAATTTCTTGAAACTTATAATGTTGTTTTCAACGAAATAGTGAATTTTTAATAGAAATTATTTTTTAAAGTATAATTATTAATATTTATTGACTAAAAATTTCACTTTTTTAAGGAGGAATTACTTTTAAAGATTTTAATAGTTGATTTTAATTCTCGCGATTTTATGTTACTACTCATTCAAAAGGGCTTAACTTAGTAGCGAGTTAGAGGGCTTGGTTTGCTAACCAAACCCTATAAGATTGAGCAGAAATCTTCAGTGTTTGTGGAGTGTCAATGAACAGGGAATTTAATTTGAAAAAGGCTCTTTTTAGATAAATTTAAAAAATTATTTTTAAGTAAAAGATTGTTTATATTGATGTTCAATAGCCACTTTCAGATGGTTTTGCTTAACAAAAGCAATTTACTGTTACCTTGTTGCGTGATTAAACTTTGTTTCTCAAAGTCCATGCATTATATGCTTTCAATTCTTTTTTAAATTAAAATAAAAATAAAAGGAAGTACAAAAAAATTTGGTAATATTCTTTAAATGTTTATATTCACTTCAGTTTTAAAATATTAAAAAAAAAATTAATTGAACTAAATGAAACGTGTAAAATAACTTTTTCGTTGATTATTACTGAAAGTGGCTAAAAATAAAAGTTTAGAAAGAATAAAAAAGACTGCTTCCATTAAGAATATAAAAAAAATATTTAGGTTCAATTTAAAACAGCATGTTACTTACTCAATGTTGTTCTAAATAAAAAAAATTGGCGCTCAATTTGTTAAGCAATATTTACATAATTACAAA